ATCTCAATGCCTCCTGCCCTCCTTCCCTCCCCCCCAACCCCCACGGTCTCACTCTAGCTTCTGTGTTCCTCTCACTCAACCTCCGAGCCACGGTTGCGCCACCCCATTTACTGTTTTTTCATTTTTTTATTTTTATTTTTACCACCGAGAATCGTTGCTGCATGTGCATCGAACACATTCGAAAAGAAGGAATAACCATTTTTCCGTGGGTGTTCGGTGGTGTTTATTTTTTTTTTTGTAGAGGGGCTTCTTCGTTTTTGTTTTTTTTTTGTTCTGTTTCACTGTCGAACGTGGATCACGGGAAATTAAAAAAGGTGGGGGCAGCATCCAATCGGCGAAGCAGAGTTTTTTATGGGGGTAGTTTTTTTTTCTGGGGATAGTTCGTTAATGTTTTTTGAAGGGTTTTAGGATTTAATTTTCAAGTGTTATTTCATGAATCACTGAAATTATCGTTTATTTATAGAGCCGCAACTAGGGGAAGCTAGGGGTATGGAACCTATTTTCAAGTCACGTGTATCACAAGTCTCCTAAATTGAATTTTTCCCTGTCGAATATTTCACTAGTTTCATCTTCATATTTATGTTACAATTAATTGAATTTTTTTATTGATATTGGTTCATTTACATCACGAAATAGAATATGCAAAAGCTATCTTAACCATTAATCATCAAATGCGCATCAAAAACATCAACAAATAATAATTCTCTACAATTTCAACTAATTCTTTTACTCGCAAAATGGTCTATTTCATTCCTAAAAAATCTTCCTCCTTCATCCCAAAAAGAAGTAAAATTATAGTGAAAATAAAGAGAAAAACAGAAGGAGAACGAAAAAAGAAAAATTATTCCACTAGTTTCGGCTTCACCGTTCATACTATATTATTGTTTGTTGCAGACGGAAATCGCCAAGCGGTTAAGTGTGATCATATCGCAACTGATGCCTTGTTTAGCGCAAGAGGTGAATATTTTATTATTTTTTTTTATCCATCTTTATTTCATTACTCAATAGAGTAGAGACTCATAATTTTGTTTTTAAGAATGTGAGATTGTCATGAAACTTTGATGGGGCATTTTGATCCTATGACCCTCGGATCACTGCACCCTTGGTGTCTGAATAAATTGTGATAAAAATATATTTAAAAAATATCATGACAATTTATTCGACTTAGAGGGTTGACAATACATTTTAGACTTGATGAATCATTGGGGAATCGTTGTACCTCATGATTGAATAGATAATTGGAATCTCGGTAACTTTGCAAGTCAAAATGCTCTACTGACGGGACTATAATGGCAGACTGCTTTCAGCACCAGCAGCAAGTAGCTAATGCCGTAGAGAGGGCCAAACAAGTCACCATGAACGAACTCAATGCCATTCTTGGGGTGAGTTTTAAATGTTGTGTAAAATTTTGTCAAGAGATATTCAACACTGATTCAACACTGACTGTCTGTCCTTTCTTTTCATGAATAAAAAGTCAAATTGTTTCATACTTTCATTATTTTTCTTAATATTTCCGAATATCAATAAAACTTGGTTTGTTCTTGCAGCAACAACAACAACAGGGTCTCCAACACCTCCTGGTAGGTGAACATTATTCATTACCCAATGAATAACTCAATAACTCAATTCTTCAATCTTTCCCTCTCCAGCCGCAAATGCTTAATAGATTATTATTTGTGCAACAGCAACAAATTCACGCCCAACAATTGCCCCACAATGCTGTAGTGGGAAGTTTACCGCCAGCAAGTCTGTTGGGTTTCGCTGGTGCTGCAGCGGCCGCAGGAGTACCACCTCATCTGGCACCACCACCTCATCCAGCAGCGGCAGCGGCAGCAGCAGCAGCAGCAGCGGCTGCTGTCGCAGCCCAGGCACAAGCACTTCTCAAATCCTCGGATCTTCAGCAACATCGGGCAGCCACTGGCACACCAGAGGATAGAAAATCCATTACCATAACTGAGGACAGACTCAGAAGATCTGTCTCACCTTCTGAAAAATTTAGATCGAGGACTCCTGACCTTGAGGGGGATGCCAAGAGGAGGAAAGAGGAGAAACTTGGTCATGTAAGTTGAATTTCATTCTCTCAACTAAATTTCCTTACTTCTCAACCTGAGATTATCTTATTGTATCAATGACAATGATTTTTATATATCCCTGATTCCAACAAAATGTTGAGTTTAAACCGCCTGAAAACAAGCTCTTTTTCACTACGAGCCTTTCCTGCTCTTACAACTCAACGTCCACCTAAATTGGATTATTTTTCACCAGCAATACGTTTTTTCCTTCCCCCTGGAGACTACTCCACCTTTAATACTTGTCTATTCGTCTTCGTCCACTACGACATGTAGACCGTGTCGTCGCCAGGTCGTTCCCCTTCTCCAGCTGGTTAACCCCACGTATTTCAGTTTAAAACAGTCAACCGAGGAAATTCTAGTTGTCCATCATCAATCTTCATTTCTCGCGTCTTCGTCTCTCTTACCTCCACCACTTTTTTTTCATTTATTTTTTTAATTTTTTTTCCTTTCCTTTCCCTCATCCTCTTAAGGGGCGATGGAACGAATTAATCTCCGTCATCAACTTTTGTTGTACCAATTTTTATTCAACTAAAATAGTTGAACTGGCTTTCTCGAGGTCCTTGTTACGCTACACTGGGCTTTTTCAATGAAACCAGTCGCATTCGTGAGTCAAGCAATGCATGGCAGACAACGGAGATGAGCTTTCAACATCGTAGACTTCAAAACCCACGGCTCAACCATCCATTCACCATGGAGGGGGGGTAACATCAAGGGTCTTGTCTATTTCTCTTGTAATGATCTTGGGATCGATTCCACACACTTTTTGCCTACATAAAACTCGATTCAAGTTGTTTTGAAATCATCAAAATAACTTTTCTCTTTTTTTTGCACAATCCACCAACGCTGATGATGATTTCTACGTGTCTGTGAAGTAAAAATGGGAGAAAAGAAAGGGTTGAATTTTTCATCTGACCACGTCGAACCAATTAAAGTGGACCAGCCAGTGTGCTGCCCCCCACCTCATTTTTTTTTTATCTCTTTTGGTTTCTCCCTCTGTCGCTCTTGCTTCCTCTTCAAGCCGTTCACTCACGCTCGCAACTCGTTGGGATTTTTTTTCGCGTCACGAGGCGGTGTAATTTATTTGGCTACCGGGTGCCCGGGAAGGATCGAGAGGGTGCAACAGAGAAGGAGGGATGAAAGAGGAATAAAAAAAATGGGAGGGGGATAAAGGCGGTTTCAGTTTATTTTGTGGGTCCTAGCTATACCCGGAGAGCTCGTCACTGTCCAACGCCGTTGGTTGGTTGGTTGCTTTTACTCCCTCGGTACAACATTCTTTTTTTTTTACTCTTTCGGTTTCTATCTCAACCCTCGACCGACCCATCTTTTTCCATTTCATTTTTGCTGCTTTTTTCATTTCCATTTTTTTTTTCAACTTTTTTTGCGGGATTATATTTGTTTATGTTTTGTTGGCACAGTCGCACATATGATAGGGTTTTGAATGGGGCTATTTAATGGGCGAGTTAATGACAAATTTTTATGTATAGTGAGAAGTTGATGGACAAATTTAATTCAAGTAATGGAATCTATTCTTCACCAATTCAATTGGAAATTGATATTGTAATTTGGTAGGTAGTTGAATAATTCAGTAGCGAAGCGATAAAGGGTGAATTTTCTATAACTGATTGCTGATTTATAGAGATAAGTCGACTTATTTCCGACGATTACAAATCGATCACTGAAATTGAATTTTTGATCAATTTTATTATTTAAAAGAGAAGAACACAGCTTAATAGTCCATTTTAATTTGTGGTTGCTTTAATATTTAAACAGTCAGAAGGGCCAAACATAATATTTTAAGGAAAGCTTTTTCTAAATTATGGCCTTGATGATTTCCCAGAAACGGAATCAATCGATGCGTTTCAGTAATTGTAGAGTTCTTCAAATATAAATTTTTTGAAATTTTGAAAAATGAAACAAAATGTTCTGCTTAACGAACGTTCCACCCTTAATGGGTCACCGGCACTGATTTTTTCAAAGATAATTGTTATCAAAACAATGGAAAATCATCCTTTACATTCCATTAACACGATAAAAAAAGCGATGCACCCTCCCCCGAGATACTAACGGAATAGAAGTGAAAATTGTGAGTGGAGTAGAGAAGTGAAGAGCGAAGAAGGAAATGAATAAAAAAAAGCAATTTTTTACTCGCAAAAAAATGAATAGAGAGAAAAATAGAGAAGCGAAAAAATAAGAAAAAAAAAACAACAAGCCCTCTCCCCTCTTTCCGGCCGAGAAGAGAAAGAGGGTGGCTATGATGACAAAACACTCGCTCTGACCTTCCGCGTGATGGAGCGAGGGTTTGAACAGTGGGGAGGTGAGTTCAGGTTGGGTTTTTAGGGTGGAGTGGAAACTGCCAGAGGATGAAAAGCAAAAGAGAGTAAGGGGTTGGGTGAGTTGTTGGTGTGAGCCGAAGAGGACACAAGGGGGTCGTGGAAATGAAAGAGGATGGAGAGAGTTGGGTTTGAGGGAATAAAGATGGAGAATGGGCGGGGATGGGACGGGGTGAGTGAGGGAGAGAAGAGGCGGCGGGAGGTTTATACCCATCATTTTGTATTTCTCGCAGACATAAAAATCTATACTATCCATCCCACCCCTCGACATTTTTCCACCCACACGATCCCCAGAACTTCTGCATCATACCAACCATTCCCTGATTCTTCAACAACTGAAAATAATAATCTGTGGGAATTGAGAATTTTTAGGACTGGTGTGGGAATTTTATGGGCTAATGGGGACTGACATTTAATAGTTGAAAATTTCATCATCTAAAAGCATTAAAAGCATTTTTAATGTAATCAATTTGTTTCAAATCTATTATTTTATCGAATCTTGTCAAATTAGAATTAAACAAAATTTATATTTAGGAATACAGTCCCTTTAAATAGATGTGGATCATAAATTATTTCACAAAATGATTTTTTCCCATCGAAATGAAAAATGAAGGAAAAATGACAGACAACAACTCGAGGCTTTTCAAGCACCTGCAGACGGGAAAAGCTTGCTTGATCGAGTACAAGCAAGCTTTAATGCTATCACTCTGTGTTCAACTGTTGAAAGAGAACAAACGTTGGGGGGGGGGAGGTTGGAAGAAGGAAAAAGAGGCGAAGATGGAAGACAAAAAGAAAATGCGGGTACGGAGGAGGAGGGGCTGATGACGGTCGTTGGTGGTCTAAGTAGTGCACGGTGAATGGAATGGAAGGGATGATAACATTTGTATCATATTTAACGGTAGAACGGTTAGGGTAAGGAGACGAATATACACCAATTTTATCTCAACCACCCACCCTCCACTCTGCTCCATCTACTTCTCAACATTGTCTCGCAAATCTCCTTTTCCCTGGTCCTACCATCACGACAAAACCAAAACCCAACCCTCGTCACCCTCACCTATAACCCAGTGAAATCAATACCAACTTATTGAGATACCACCCTCTATTCGACAATATTTATTGTCCAAGGGGAGTTATTTTGTAACGAAATTTTTATTTCTTTGTCAAGTGCAGTTGTGGTGGCCATTGTGACCCTTATGACCTTGACGGTTCCCATAAACGTTAATTTTCATTAAATTATTCGTTTCTTTTTTATTTGCTTTAAAAATATTAAGAATGGTAAAAATCATAATTTGTATTATTGTGACCCTTGTGATCAGAGCGATCGAACTTATGTTTTTGATTGATATAAAAATGATTGTGTATGAAAAAATAAAATCTGGAATGCCAAAAAACAAAATAAATAAATAAATGAATAAATTTAATTATGAGTGAATGAATCGAGCGCACTTTGACGGGCGAATTGTGGACATTGTAGGGTTGGAAGCCAGACATTAAAACCGTTGAGTCCATTGGAGGTGAGAGTGGCTGGTCCTTGGTGCCTACCAAATCAATCCTCTTTATCCGTTCCAACCGCGAAATCGCTTCCGCCGCGCGTACGGATGGTTTTACGGTATATCCACCACCCACCGTCGCCACAATGCGTTACGTATTCACACACACACATCACGTGGATCAGTCTCTCTCCTCCCCTCTCCTCGCCTCGCTTACTTGGAATGAGTTTGATAATTTATCGAGCTTTAATCAATTTCATTGTGTTGTGTTCTCACTTATCAGGAGAGCGATGGCGAGAAGAGCGATCAGGAACTCGTTGTGGACGTCGCTAATGAGGTAAATCTACTAGAAATTAAATGCAACAGAAGAAACCATTTTTTATTCATTTTTTGTTGAATGTCATGAAATTATCTTCATTAATAAATAATAAAAAATGCAAAAAATGCAAAAAATGGTAAAATTCAAGGAGGCTTCCTCGCCCCACGCCAATGGTGATCACTCAGACCACCGGGAGAACGGAACCTTTGAGAAGATTGTTGGTCAGGGGCATGCCGGTGTTGTATCGAGTGCAGCAACTTCGGTGAAGGAACGACCGCCCTCCCGAAGTGGGAGCTCATCGGCTCGGAGCACGCCCTCACTGAAAAGTAAAGATGTAAGATCTTGCCCCGAGCAAGTCGAAAATTTAACCAAATCAAAGATTCGGCATTAATCGAATGGGAGAGAGAGAGAGAGAGCGAGAGGAGCGTTATTGAAAACTAGTAATAGTCGATTGATTGAATTGCAGATCGACAAGCCGAGTACCCCAGTGGCGGCGAGGGGCTCGCGCAGTTGTACGCCAACTATGGCTCCAATCCCTGGTGCCTTGGGGTCCCGGCTCTATCATCTGCCATCTTCGCAGCAAACAGCGCTGCAGGGATATCAGGGTTTACCATCCCGAGGCAGTGAGACACCTCAGTCTCCAACTTCTTATAATAGTTTATCTTATTCGAGATCATCATTAGTAAGTTGGCAAATTTTTTCATTTCTTTTTGGAAAATCTCATTTTTTTTCTTTTTAATCCAATTTAATTTTATTTTCCAGCTCGGTTTTGACAGTCACTTGAGGGTCCCCTCAGCGAACGGTTTGAGCAATATTCCGGGTGGTAAACCGTAAGTGAATATTGAAAAATGAAAAAAGAAAAAAAAAGTTGAATTATTTTACAAAAAAATAAATAAATAAATAAAATAAAAACCAATGCAAACGACTCTTTTCAGTGCCTACTCCTTTCATATGAATGGTGAGGGCCAGCTACAGCCAGTGCCCTTTCCAACAGACGCCCTAGTGGCCCCCGGAATCCCCCGTCACGCACGTCAAATGAACACACTGACTCATGGTGAGGTTGTCTGCGCCGTGACAATATCAAATCCCACGAAATACGTGTATACCGGGGGTAAAGGCTGTGTCAAGGTCTGGGACATTGGTCAGAGTGGAGGGACAAAGGCAGTTTCACAGCTCGATTGCCTGCAACCGGACAATTACATAAGATCGGTAAAGCTTTTGCCTGATGGGAGGACTTTAATTGTCGGTGGGGAGGCGAGTCAATTGAGCATCTGGGACCTCGCCAGTCCCACCCCGAGGATAAAAGCTGAACTCACATCGTCTGCACCGGCTTGCTATGCTCTCGCCATATCACCAGACTCTAAAGTCTGTTTTTCGTGCTGCAGCGATGGCAATATTGCTGTCTGGGATCTTCAGAATCAGTCACTGGTGAGGCAGTTTCAGGGGCACACTGATGGCGCCTCCTGCATTGACATCTCTACTGATGGAGCCAAACTATGGACCGGTGGCCTGGACAACACTGTCAGATCGTGGGATCTCAGGGAGGGCAGACAACTGCAACAGCATGACTTTACGTCGCAGATTTTTTCGCTTGGCTATTGCCCCAGTGGCGAGTGGCTCGCTGTCGGTATGGAGAACTCCAATGTCGAGGTGCTGCATGCCAGCAAGAGTGATAAATACCAGTTACATTTGCACGAGTCTTGTGTACTGTCGCTTAGGTTCGCATCGTGTGGCAAGTGGTTCGTCTCCACCGGTAAGGATAATCTACTTAATGCCTGGCGCACACCTTATGGAGCATCTATCTTTCAGGTGGGTTTATTATTTATGGATCAATTTTTTCCTCCTTGAAAAGAAAAAAAAAAAAAACTAATTCGAAAATTTGATAATTCAAATTTCTTTTTTTTTTTTTTTTTTCACCAATCACCTCAGTCGAAAGAATCTTCATCAGTCCTCAGCTGTGACATCTCCGCCGACGACAAATTCATCGTGACCGGTTCCGGTGACAAGAAAGCAACAGTTTATGAAGTGATGTATTAAATAATAATAAACATGATTTGTAAAATTTTTCAACATGTAAATAGGACGAAAATGCTAGGGACAACGAAAGTGTGATTACCATGAGTATATAGACGCCTTAGACGCCTAGTTTGTATAATAACTCCGAGAGACAGCTGTTGGATGACATTAAATAACTTCATTTCTAAGAAAGGCCATTTGCACTGTCAACATGTGCCACCTACTGTGTACATTAATTTTAATTATACGGATACTTCCGTTCAAACTTTGATGTGTGCATTATGTAATTATACTGGAAATATTTCCAATGTACATAATCTCATGTTTTAGAAAATGAAAAAATAACTATTTATTTTGTTGTTCTATTGAATTCAATCATTTTAAACTACTTGTACATAGAGATAGCTTCAATTATTTTCATTAATTTTACATCACATAATTAGGAATTTGAAGATTTATTATCCTGTCCTATTTGTGATAAAACAAAAACGAAATGAGAATTTTATGCCTGCAGAAATTGTAATAAATGTTTCATATTTCTTAAATTTTTTTTTTTGAATTTTATTTTTCATTTATCCAAAATAATTAATTCTCAATTTTCAACTATCAGTGTGACATAAAAATAATGAATAATAACAAATGAAAGAAATAATCATCATTTATCTTACTCCCAAATTATCAAATAATAAAAAATAACAAAACAGGTGATATTATGCTTTTAATTTCATTATTTTTATTTTTGGTAACCACCAAGTATTTACATTATTTAGTGCGTGTAATTCATGTATACAAGGTTCGTTAAAAACATTAAATGTTTATGAATTCACGAGCCACCAGTTACCCTAAAGTTATTCATGTATTTACACCTTACACTGCGTACAGGATTTAAATGAAAACTTTGATATTCAATCAATTTGTATTCCATCCACTCGTTATTATTTTTACAATCGTCAATTTAATCCTCTAATTTTGGAGCGTCGATATGTATTTACATGTATAAAAAATTTCATCGACTCAGTGCAAAGGGAATTACGATATCAATACCAGACTACTCCTATAATTAATTAATCAACATTTTTTTTCATCATTATTAATTAACATTTTCATGGGTTTTAGCTCGTGGATTTGATAGGGAAAACCTTGTAAGGCGCATTAATGATTATTCAAAACACTTGACTCATTATTTTGTCTCTCCCTTTTTTCATTTCATTTTCTCAATATGTACAGTCTACAAATACATAACACAGGTATTTTACAGCTAATTTACATTTTACTGATAAGATAAACCGTTTGTTAATGAAAAAAAATAATAATTGACTTGAGTAAAAAGAACAACGAATCGACCACTCTATCGTTTCATCAATAAAAATCGAGATAATGTCGCAGGTAAATTATTCACAAAAAAATATTTATTACTCGTTACAACAATCTTCAAATGAATAAACAATTAAAATCCCTTGACATTCATTCAATCCAATTTTTTCACATAATTGTACATGTGGAAAAGAAAAGAATATACAAGACGGTTTTTAGAAATAAAAATATCATCTAGTCATTACTAACGAAAATAAATTCACTTCGGATTTATCTGTTAAATAGACAGGAGAAAGAGTCCTCCTCAGTGATTTCACTCTCATATCAGGATTACGCGCTTGGATTTTTCTTTTTTTTGCATTTATTAATTGCGAGCACTGAGAGGTGGTTTAAGTCGTTTGTGATGCCCAGATATCAATCGATTCATGTTTTTGATCATTAACGATGAAGGGGACGGTCAGTCACTGTCTGAACCCACGGGATTCATCTTTTTTCTCTTCTTCGCTTGCTTTGGTTTTGCAATCAATTCGTCCTAGAAGGAAAAAATTTTGATTATTATTATTATTATTCGGTAATTTTATATCATTTCTCCAATTTTCATAATTTTTGTTATCTAGGCGAAAGGTGAAGCATTGGAGCATTTTTTATATTTCCTAAGGAAATTAAGTTTAAAGCTTGAAAAAATATCTTTGATATTGAAAATTGAAAAATAGATCGCTTTCCCGTGTTTTATTTGCTCTACTTGTTGAAAAAAAAATGTCTGCGCATGCGCAACCCGAAACCCCATTGCGCATGCGCCGAGTCTCAGAGCCGTCGCCATTTTTTGGAGGTTTCGCAGTCAGTGCGCGGTCAGTGCTGCCCCGAGTTGCTGTTGCAGTTGCGCAGAAGAAAGTGAAAAGAGTCGATTTAGTGCCGTGTAGTGGTAAACAGTGAATATGAAAGGCGGGAAATCATCACAAGGACTCGGTGGAGGCCCAGTTTTGTTATTTCGTGGCTTTACGAGGATTTTTGGCGAGTTTATGAGTTGTATACCGCCCTAGTTTTCGTCAGTGGACAACAACAAATGTTTACATTGGCCCGACGTCTCTGTTTGTTTTGATAAACAGTTGATTGTAGAGATTTTTTGGTGGAACTAATGCTCTAGTATTAATTTGTTACTCTTCCATGTCATTTTATGAGACAATCGACACAAAGAAATGAAAATGGCAGCCAGTGTTGTATTTACAAGTAGTGAATTGAAGTACTTCGAGTGTTTAAAGGATTTTGGCAGGTGACAAAGACTCGTCGGGTGCTACATATCAAGAAAGTCATCATTTTGCTTTTTTTGGGTGTAAAGATGGAGATAAAGACTGCCGATAGCAACCTTTCTTCATTCAAAAACTATTGTTTCATGTGTTTCAAGTGTCTAGTGTTAAAAATTTATGTCTGTGTTTTTCTTTTTCATTCTTTTATTCTTTCTTTGTTCCACCGTTTGGAGGGTCTGACGAATTTTTTTGGAAGATGGATAAGTTGCATTTCCAAAAATTTGTAACAACGAACCCAAAAGATCGGCCAATAGCAGCCAGTGTTGTTTACAAACAGTGAATTCACAATATACCACGAAATTGATTTTTTTTTTGGTCCAATAAGGGCTAAAAGTGGTCATTAGCAGTCTTTCTTTGTCCAGAAACTGTTGTTTATGGTGTTTTAAGTGATAAAATCCTTCTCGTTGTGTTGATTCCGAGTCATTTGATGAGTGTTTTTTTTTCCATTCCCATAATTCAGTGAATTTGTGCGAATTGTGATAAGTGCAAATGAAATCAATTGTTTTGGAAGTGTGAGTGCATTTCAGAGGATTATAACATGAGGATTATTAAGAGAACTGAGGCAGTTGGCTGCTGTTTTCATCCAATGCCGGTGAGTCCTGATTTCAACTTTTGTATCTTTGTATTTATTATTTTTTTCTGAATTAATTCTAGGGCAATTTTTAATGAGAATGAAAAACTGAATGAATTTTATGAGAACAAATACAACATCATTTCAGAAGAAAATGTAGGAAGAGAGAAAAAAAAATCTTTTGACATTTTCTTCAAAAATAAGCACTAGTTATAGCAATATGATGATAAATTCACAATAATCAAAGCATCACTTGTCAAGAGAAGAAAATAATTTTCTCTCTCTGTTAAATATCAAATAATCATCTCTATAATGAACAATCGTTTGAAAAATGCTCGTTGTTAAATCCACGTACCTCACTACTTTGTTCACTACTCTCAGTTCCCCTGTCCCTCGGTGGTGGTCGTTTGTTAGCAGATCTCTCTCTCGTACTAGCCCCCACCCTCTTGTGCCCCTTTCCCCCAGCAGTCGATGATGTATGTTTCCTCGGGCTAGAAATCGGTGGTGATTCATTCTCCTCATTGACCTCAGCAAGTGCAAACAAATCTCCATAGCTCTTTCTCAGGGAATCACTGCTGGCGGCTTGTGCCTGCTGCAGTGCCTTCTGCATATTCTCAGTCTGGTACAATTGAAGATCAGCTGAGGCACGACAGTGTTGTCTCAACTGATCCAGATGACCCAATACTTGTTCACCTGTTGGTGGACCAGTCGCCTGTTGATTCTGTTTTGCACCAGCTCGTTTTCGCTTGTTGGGACTGGTTGCTGGGTACCTCGAGCTCAATAAATTAGCAAGTAGTTCAGCGAGTTTGTCTTCGTAATCACGACACCAGTAGCGAAGGGCTGCTACGACGAACATGTCGCCATCGGTGTTTTGACGGGTGAATAGTTGTCTCAGTAGTTCTAGGGTTGGTCTGGATTGGAAAACATGTGACAAATCATGGAATAATTTTTTTATAATTTAATCGTAATGAATTACCTCTCTTGCTTGAGCATAAATAAAATAGCAGTGAGTGCCTCAGCATGATCCCTAAACTGCAATTTTGGTAATACAGGCAGTACATATTTGATCGGAAAGTCATGTGCAAATGTCAATTGCCAGAAGCAGTACTGTTCAAAGGTCTCCCAGTTTAAGCTAACAGTGAGAAGATTCATGAATGAATCCTTCTCCAGCATCTTCAGTTGTCCCTGCATTATCTGACAGACTAGTTCCTGGAGTTGGCAGGAGTCGACTGTTGATACCACCAGGTGCAGGAGTTGGGCATTACCTAGGGCAATTCCCTGGAACCCTGTAAACACATCTGGAAGGAGATAGCAGAGGAGGAAGACACTGTCTTCGTGGCACAACTGAAAGATTAAATGAAAATGCTCGTTGATTAACAATTATTAATTATTATTAATTAATGCATTTGAATTGTCATGTTGTACCTTAAGATCTGTCAAGAGACACGTCTCCAGCTTCTTATCTCTCTGGGCACAAAAGTCTTTATAAACAGAGGCTTTAACTTCACTCGTGACATTGCTAGCCAATCCCTCACGTTTCTCCTCTTCTCGTCCCCATACTTTGAGAAAATAAAGTAGAAGGTAACCAATTCTCGGTTGAATCTTCTGCAACTCCGCCAGGACGTGGCCTATAAATTTCTTCCTGTTGTCTTCCTCCTGACATAATTGAAAGAAATTACGAAACATTACGAAGACTGGAGTACTTATGGTGTCGGTTAAAGCTTCATCGTTGGAATTATCAGCCGGGAATATCGAAGCAGTTATCTGGGACTCGAGAATCGTCGACAGGCACATGGCAAGTGGTGCTATCATGTCGGCTCCAACGTCATCTTCAATGATCATCTGAACAATTGTCTCCATTATCTGGCATTTAGATTCGTTGTCTGTTTCAGTGTACAAGTTCTCGACGGCTCTCTTTAGCTCCTCTGGCTCAATTATTATGTTCAGTAGCGATGTCAATTCGTCTTCCTTCTTGATGCAGTTGGAGTTCTTCTGGTCTTTTTTATTCAGTTTAACTTTTGATAGGGGCAGGTCTTCGTCATCCTCCTCCGAGTCTACTTTTGTTATTCGAGGCATTATCTCATCCTCATCGTCACTGAAGGCTGCCTCGTGCTCCTGATCCAGATGATTGTTTTCGTTCAAGCTCACACTGTTGTCCAACATGAGGCCTGGCCCAAAATCCTTGAGCTCATCGATTTTACCTGAATATAGGGGAACCTTATTACCTGCTACTGAGGTAATTGTGGTTTGATACAAAAAAATATTGTTAGTTTAGGGAGATTTCTGCAGTCAAGAGAGAAATGTCAGATAATTGCATAGGAGAGAGTGAAATAAACCGTCGCGAAAAACAAAAAAACAAAAAAAAATTAATGAAAATGATGGTTAATAATGTGGCCATGCAAATTACCAATGATAAAAAATTAAAAATTAAAAATTAAAAATTAAAAAGAAAAAAAAAGTCACCAGGATCAGCATTAGGTGGTAGACAAAATTCCTTGAATGTCTCCCTGATTTTAGCCCTCAACTCTCGATCCAGCTTAGGACTGTCAAAAAGTGGATACAAACTTGGTAAAACTCGTTTCTCAAGTATTTGTTTCAGTGACGAAAATATTCCGTTTCTAACCTTCTCCGTCAGCGTTGGATGAAAGTTTGGTATTATCTATTATTATTGGAAAAAATAATTGCCAGTTATTATAGTAATAAAAATGGACTGAACTAACTGAATGAATGAAGTAATTTGGATTATCGATTTGATTTGCACACCACTCACCCTGCAGAGAAAGTCTAAAAGTGTGGCAGTGACAGCAGGATGTGACCTCATTGAATTGTGCATGACGAGAATGGCAGGCTCAATGTTCATGATGTTGTCTTTGTCAGGATCGAAGAACAGCCAGTCGTAGAATAGGGCTAGTTTGGCGTTGCTGGTGGCTACAGTGGATGTGCACGTCGTCAATAACCAGCCAATGACTGCCCATCTGGGAATAATGTCCGAGCAGAGTAGTTCGTTTGTCGGATGAATGACTCCCACGATAAAACGAATCAAGTCACACCTCAGGGATTGTGACTCTGGTGTCGCCAAGTACTGCCTTTGAAACCAGTCCTGGTACCTCTTGTGATTGCCAAATCTCACTTGGCTCGTGAGAAAAACAAGCTTTCGCTCCATGTCTGGGGTCAATCTCGACTGTAGAAATCTTCTCGAGGTTCTTGTCTCCAGGAGTTGGAGGATTCCAGTGAAACTAGGGCAGATGGACTTTGGGCTTATCAGGAGGTCCCTCCAGAGTACCTCAAACTCTGATATTCTGGCGACATTCTGCAGCAAACGAACCAGGTCTCTGCCTATGACTAGACAGTCGACCATTCGCTCTCGAAGCAGGGAAACTGTGAATACTATTTCCTTCTGTCTGAGGACCATTAAATGGGGGGCACTGTGATCCTCAATTAGTCTCAAGTAGGTGTAGACGATTGAGGCGACGAGGAAGGGGAATTTGTCGAGCCATGGCCGACACTCCTGGAATATCTCCAGAAGGGCTTCGACTAAGTAGAGATTGCGGACTGATGTGTCACCACCAGCTGCGTGTCTCAGCAAACTCAGGCACAAGTTGTCAATTCCAGCTACACTGGTTCGAATCATCTCTCGGAGGAGCCACAACAGTTGACCTCGACCTGTGTCGTGGAGGCGAAGGTAACGCTCGAGTACCAGTTGGTTCAAGTGGGCTAGCACTATTCCCAGACCGTCACGTGTTATTAGAGTTAAGTCTCGGTAGCTCTTTGCTGCTTCTTGGGGATCTGTTAGGATCACCACGAGGAGACCCAGGGATACTTCCTCGTGGGCTTTCTCTTTGCAGACTGCATTGGTTAAGGTGTCGTGGGCCTCTTTTTCGGAGAGACCCGAGGTCAGGGTTTGCAGGACTGTGTGGCATCTTTCAAATTTCTGAAATGATCAATTAACAAGTTGAGAGTTGTTGAAAATTTTCTTCCATTGGTGAGGATATTTCAAGGTTTTCTTTTTCTAACCAATTGACATGTCAAAAAAACAAGATATTTAAATTACTAGCTATCATTTCTTTGGAAAAAAAAAAGAAAAAAAAATCAACTTGTCACTATATTTCAAATCTCCCGCTGACAATAATCTGAGAAAAATGCTATATACGTGGCGCCTCCATGCACGTCGAAAAATCCCTCCCTCCGAAGTACTCACACAACTAATACATGGTGGAAAACACGTTACAACACCCGGAATACGTACATCCACAATTCCAAATAGTATTTAATGTAATATTAATAATTGTGTTACCTCCTCCAACTCGTCCTTGTTCTCAATGCAGGATGTTGTAAATAACCTCGACGAAGTCACTTTAGCCTGTTCCATCGTAGCACCAATGATGTTGCACCAGTGGTTATCGCCGAGTGATTTAAAAACCAAAAGATACTCTCTCCATTAAATAAACCGTTTATTTTAATACTCTCATATAAATACGTATACATATACATACACATATGTACATACATATCATGTATGTGAATATGGATATGTCAATGTATAATTTATTTATGGATTATTATTATTATTATTATTATTATTATCCTATTATTTTATTTTCAATTTCAATTATTATGATTTTATTTTTCTCTATCGCCAAGTGGTTGTGCACTGCCGGCAGTATCTGGGCCCTCAGCCCTGTGCCCCTGGGCCACAGTCACCACCGTGCATCATGTGTTTTCAGTTTCTTCCACTACTACTATATATCCCTCTGTCCTTTCGTCTGTTCTCTTTCGTTCTGTTCTGTTCCTTCAATTTCTTTTCCTCTTCTTTCTCCTTCTCTTCCCACTACCCCTACCCGTCCAGTTTTCTCCTTCTTTTTTTTGCTTTTTATTATAATACGATAGGATTACGATGTATATACTCTCACTCGGTGAAACTGTTCTGTGTGATGTTCTGTTCTCTACGCCTCTATTGCCTCCTCCACGTTATTCCACTCTATCTCACTCGCCTCTGTTTATGCCGCTTGTGCCCTCGTGCTCTTGTACCACCGAGCAACCCCACCGTGCAAGCGTTCGTGTGCGATTGCGCGCCGATGCCCGACAATGCCCGACAATGCCCCACTATCTTCCCAACGTTCGAGTCATATCCCCCCCCACTCTTAACAGCCATTGCCAATTGGAGACGTTTATACCGTGTATAGCATTCGTCCAGGGGTGGTGGGGATTTTGTTGGTTTGGAGCAACATTTTTTTACAATGCGCAGGCGTCCGGAGCTTTTGGGTGTGCGATGATCAGCGATGATGCTGGGGAATGCTACGTAGGACGCTGAAATATTGAGATATTCAGGGGATGAACATTTTTATTTTGTGATTTTTTTTTTCATTTTTGTGTTGAATAAACTGCATTTTTTGACAATATGAATTGTTTCTTGAGGTTATGGAAGAGTGAGGGGGGAGAGGACATAACCCCAGTTATGGTTTCATTTCTGTTTGATTAGTTATAGTTAGTTGTTATTATGAAAAAATTGTTACGGAATTTATATTGAGAGATGATGCATTGTAATGATGATTTTTAATTGAAGAGAATTAAGACGGTGGGTGGGTTTCAAGGGAATGAGAATGTGTAAATTGTAGGGGTTGAGGTTATGTTCGTTATGGCCACCTGATTTTTGCTCCTTTTTCAATTTTATTTCACAAAATTTTAACAATTAAATTATTAATATCAATAGCAAAGAGGTGAAACTGTAATTCGTAATCCCTTTAAATGCTTTCGACTCGATATTTCTCATATTAATGTCCTGAAAACAAAGGCTTTCGTTTATTATTATTGAATGAATTTTTAAATCTTTTCTTCATTTCTCTCTTCTATTTTGACATTACCTATTCGTGAAATACTGGTGGCTGATCGAAAGGAATTCAATATGAATTATCGCATCATGGCTAATTGCACATGTGCAGGCATGCATTCAGCTGGATGAGAACACCGAGATTTTTTTTTCTCTTCTTGTTTTAGAATTATGGGAAGATTACATCAGCAATGGAAATGGAATTGTGAATCATTGTTCTGTGCTCTTTGCATAGGGAAGATTTTCGTTTATTATTCGATAGACAAAGGAATAAGAAGAGCTGGGTCACGAGGTTAGGAACAGGATGAACTAGTTCAGGTTTTTATTCTGAGAATGTCGGAAGGGATGTTTCAGTATCATTAGAGACCTAACATCATTGTTTTTCGATAGTGCTGGAGAGTAAATTAGGCATATGGATTATGGAATCGCTCCCACAAGATGAGATGTGTATTCTTTTTCCATATCGTGGCTCCATCTTCATTGAAGTTCATTTACGATTTAGGAAGATCCGATCAATTAGCCCCTCGTGTATAGATATTCCAAATTTTTATTTTTTTCCTCATTGAAGTAGAAAACTACTTCAAAAGGAGAAAATTGCGTGCTAATAAAAAACATGTGCTAGTTAGTACTTTTTTTAAAATAAATTTTATACATGAGGGGCTAATTGATCGGATCTATTTAGGAGGAGTATGAGTAATTTCTGGGGGGATTGATTGAAGAGTGAAGAGTAAATAATTCAAGTATTTGTTTCCATGTTTTTATTCAAACGGTACATTCGGGCTTTTGACAACTGGGACAACATTTTATGACTAGATTTTTGGTTTATTCTTCGTTACTGTTGGTGTATTTTAGAAATAGGTGAAAAAATTGGAGATGGAATGTCCTAAGTACACATTTCAGGCCAATTTTTTTTTTTTCAATCTGTAGTATGTTTTAAGCCAATTAAAGCGATTTGAATGAATTATTACAATCCAAAAAATCCATTGAAAATGAAAAATCCACAATATATACATTGAATTTCACTCAATCGATAATTAGTTATCAATGCTTTCTTTTCTCTTTCATTTTTCTATTTTAATTAATAAAAGTTCTTTTTTTTTCACATGTTCAGAGAAATGTCAAGGGTTATAATGATTCCCTAGAAAACGTGCGAACATTGTGCGCTACGTTTTACCCTTCTTGAATCTCTGGCGTGCTTGGGCCTTGCTGTATTTCGGGTGTTTCTCGTGATTCTTGCCGGTTGCGGTAGCTCCTTGGGCTTCTGTAGTTTCATCCCCTAGTAACTCGATTGGAGGTTCTAATAGGGATTTTCTCTGGCATTTCACAAAGTAACGGAATCCTTTGGCTGCAGCAAAACCCAGCATTGCGATTGAGATTGTTAGGAGGGCCATTAACACTGGATGCTGAAATAAAGTTGATTATTATTTTTCAATTTTAAAGTAGAATTTTTCTCAAAAAGTATTCCAACGAAATTTTTCAGTTTCTATGGTCTCAAGTATGACTTGAGTGATGAATGAATGATAGTAACACAAAGGGTCACAGAAAAGTCGAAAGGAATTCAAGACCAGGAGGAATTATTTCAGGGGAACGAATTGACCATTAAATGACCAATTGATTATTAAAAAAACAATTACCGTTAATGTCGGCTTATTAGTGAAAACATAATCAGCAATGACGACAATAACACCGAGAATTATGCCAATTCCAGCGCCAAGCCAAGGTATCTGTTGATCCGCTGCAAATACATATTTTTCTCCTCGTATTAAAGTTATTTTTAACTTTCTCCGCATTCACTCACCTCTCTGGTCCTTTATTAGCGATCTTGTCGCTTTATTGATAGCTTCTAGAATGTCAGGATCATTAGGTTGAAGATTTAAAGCTTGTCCGTATGAGTGGAGAGCCTCGCTGAAGCGAAACGTGTGGAATTCCACTTCCGCCTTGCGGTAATATCCCTGACGAGTATTTTTTTATATTCGATATAATAAAAATCATATTCGATAGACTCTAAGAAAATTGAATATGGCTGATGCAATATTCGTCAGTAAAAAATTTAATTTTGGTACTTTCTGAGGGTTCAAGACCCTCACGTGAATCACGTATGTGAATTGACAGTGTGCATTTACACGATCCACGGTAGTTTTGACCGTGGACCCTCAACTTCTACTTGTCAAAATATTAATTCGTCGAATACGAATATCACTCTAGATTAACGTAGAAATTGAGGATCCACGGTAGAAATTACCTTGAATCCACGGGAAAACGTCCCATACATCCAGGGTTAAAGTTACCATAAAGCGCGTGAATAGACACTGCCAATTTTTTTTCCCTAGCTTCAACTTTATTATATTCTATTCTATGCTTCTTTGGAATTTTTCAATTGTACAGTACTTTTGTCCAATCTGGGTTGAGATTTATCGTCATCACTGCATCCTCCATTGCGAAGTGATATTGCTGCATTTTTAGAAATACCAAGGATCTGTTGCTGTACAAGGAATAATTCTCTGGGTCCAATTTTATCGCGTGGGTGTAATGAAACATTGCTTCTGCATATTTCTGCTGTTTCACGCAGTCGTTGCCCTGTTCTTTCAATTTCTGCACCTGAAAATGGATCATCATCCAAAATGATGATAATAATTATGTTTTTTTTATTTTTATCTCAACGCTTGAAAATCTCTATTCATTGTCTTTGAAAATGACAATTTATTCGTCGGAATTCTCACCTTGTCTTTCTCCTCGCTCGTCATAATTCAATTATATTGGAGCATTAGCCACACTCCTGATAGGTATCTTGGAAAAATTATCTATACTAGGTTCAGTCTCGTTGTACTCTAGTTCAATATACCCTGTGGGGGGAGTGTACTGTTGTAACACGACAAGTGCCGTAATATTCTTTCTGCAACCCTTATTTTTCCTGCATGTGCTGCATTGTGTGTGAAGAAAACATCAGCAGCAGGAGAATGTGTCATGGCGCAACGCATGCAGGTTGCCATTTTTCTCATGTGTGTGTATTTTGATGAAGATGGACCTAGTTCTTTCTCTCATAAATATCTCAACCACGGATAAGGCAAGCAGATAACCCCCAAGAATCTAGCATGCGATCTGTAATAAATACACAATGCACCAATGAATCTTTATTTAATCAATACTCTGTGTGCAATCGTGCATTGACACGATTAAATAAAAAACCCAAGTGACATATTACTCACAGCCAACATAACCACGAAATCATAACTTGTGTCTCTGTGTTTGTTTATTACAGACAGATCGGATGCTAGATTAATTCCAGTGGTTATCTGCTTTTCTGGGTTTAGATATTTGTGAGATCTGGGCCTATTTCATTTTCATGAAATCCTCACAAATTGGCGGCTAGGATTGAATGAAAATGTGTTATTTAAAAAATGAAAAATTAAGGCTTGTTTAATTAATTAAAAAAAAAAAACAAATGGATTTATTCCAACTAATTGTAGATGAAACAACATTCCGATTATTGAGGAAAAATATAGAGCCCATTGTTTCATATTTATACACATTTCTTCAATTTTCTCAAGCACAAACAGTATATATTGCGGCACAGTGCAAATACAATAGATAATGAAAATGATTAAACAGTTATCGATCTCTACATTCCTGATATTCCTACTGCAAAAGGTCCTTGTAACTTTGTAACGTTGGTTTCTATAGGAATTCATCAGGAAAATGTGTAGAATTGAAAAACTGTTGAGACAATTACAAACATATTAATCGATGATTGCAATTTCTGCAATGGGGTTGAGGCTTGAATAAACAACACATTTCTATTCTTCATTCATTTTTTTTATTACTAGTATTTCTTTTGCCATCACAGTGAGTAGAGACATCAGAAACAAACTACAGTAGTTGACGAAGCAGCACAAGCAATTATCGTATCATATTCTCAAGTAAAATTGGAACGATTTAACACAGTTATAAGTGAGTTGTTCTAACAAACGTACATGTAATAGTTATATGTATTTTATGAAATAAGCCCACATCAATATAATATGCGGCAATTTCCACCCAAAATAACAACATCTTTACCATTTCTCCATAATGAAGATGAATGACTTTCGTAAACTATGACTGGTCCTTATACATATGAACATAAATAAAATGGTGCAATTGTCCCACCACTATTGATCCTTTCGTAAAAAAAAAGTAATGACAGTTGGTTATTTATTTCTCATATTATCGAACATTTTTCATAGTAATAATTGATCCGATTATCACTTTTCATTTGGTGATTTAATATACTTTTTATTCATGAGGATAAATCCTCAATTTAATTTCAATAATTCTGCTTTAGAAAAGAAAAAAATTTTGTTTCAAAAATGTGTTCCTTCAAATATTGTTAATTATTGCCGCCACGGTTTATAAAAATAGTTGGTTATAAATATGTAAAAAAAGTATATATATATTTTTTGTTTTCAAATGTTCAAAGCACTTCTGGATTGAATTTTGCACAAGACAATTATTTGTTCATTATTTAATTGAAAAACGGAATAAGTGAATTATTTTCAATCGTCAAGTCTATTATCAGATTCTGTTTCTCTATTTGATCAATTGCATATTACCCACAACATTGATAAATTTTATTGATTAATACTTTATCCCTCGTTCGTTCCCTCAAACCCCCCGTGATAGCCGACGTAATAGGTAGATGATTCCCTCTTGTTCGATTCGAAAATCCTCTGCTGCAGCATCTCAGAAGCTTCCACACTCACGCAGTACGCGATTGCCGAGAGGAAGTGGTGGACGGAAGTTATTAATTACCTAAAAGTACAATAAATGTCAATTTTACTAGAGTTAATAATCTTCAGGGGGGTGATTTGATGAAATTTCAATTTTTTTTTCAATAGCAAGAAATAACAATTCTTTAACTTGCTTGAATATTCAGCTACAAATTACGCTCAAGAATATATATATTTTCCAGAATTTTTGGAATTTATGTCAATATTTCATCTCATGGAATAATTCAACTGACTGATTTGCATTAAATTTCAAATTTTTCATCAACAAATTGCTCTTAATCATTTATTATACAATTGATGATCTTCCGTACCACTCCGTGATTCTCGTGGCAGGGGCACTCTTCGCCTCTTGGAAATTTTCTCAAGTTGCGGAATATGTTGAGCTGGTGGTGTGACACTTCGATGTATTTCTTGAATAGAACCCAGGTGACACTCTCGTTGCAAGGCGGGGTGGTCAATGAGCCGAGATAAGTCCAGTAGCCATTGTCATCTGATACCGGAAATTAAACAATGCTCATTATGTAATGTCATTATGTAATTTTTGACAATTTTTTCTCAATATTCAATATTGAATATCCATTCAATAGGAAATTTGCATTTTTATTGTCCATGCTAATTGCCATAAATTAAACCAAACCCACTACTGGCGGCCCATGAATTCTCAGCCGAAAGGGCATTGAAAAACCTGAAAAGAAAAGCTTGAAAAAAAGCGAGGCTGGAGTAGAGTATTTTTCAACATTTTTTGAAATTATTTATCCTCTTCAGTTGAAACTTTTTCCATTCCTCATTTCATTTATTTTTATTTAGTCCCAAGGGCTCTTGAAGACTCAGTTGCTACACAAAAACGTAATATGTGTTGTAAAAACTTGAAATTTAAGCCGTTAACATTATTAAAGTAAATAATGTTATAAAAAAATATTCTCTACTCGCTTTTCAAAGAAGAAAAAAATTATGCAAGTTTCCCATTCGTTTCATAATATTCATTGTGAGAGGCTTTCTGCTCACTGCTGCATAATCAGTACGTCTGAATATTCAAATATGCAGTTGCCTCTTTTCCTCAATTGTCTTTGTGCACGAAGAGAAATTTTTTAGAAAAATTCTAGTGCCGGCACTAGAAATTTTATTGGAGAAAACGTGAATTTTTTCCCGTATTTCTGTGAAAATTTCACAGAAATCCCCAGAAATTTTACCAGAAATACCAAGAAATTTGACCTTAACACCACTAGAATTTTTCACAGCCGGTGGATTGTGATTTTTTTCCAGTACTCGTATTAGAATTTTTCTAGAAAATTTCTCTCCGTGTGTCTACATTCATGCAAGAGATAAATTAAAGTGATAATTGAATACGAATCATTCGACAGACATGTGCGCTGTGCCGACGCATCGTGTGAGATGTCTAGCGTTTTTTTTTTATTCGACGTATGTATACCTGGCGAACAAAAGTAGCAGAATTAAATTTTTTATATTGGATATTTTACAGCTTATTATGAGCTAATTTTTAATGGCTTTCAAAATATTTCCTGCCAATGCCATTTTAAAAAAACCTATCCATGCTAACTTTTACGTAAGTTGGCAAAAAATATGATTAAACCCTTCGATTACTCGCACTCATCACGCGCTCGGTCACCATAGCGCTGTTGCCACATTGTTGGCCCTTACCACCTTACTGTGCGCGCATTTCAAGTGTGGCTGCGAATATAGCAATACTGTCGCTCGAGGGGTCGAGAGGGACTCACTCGCACCGGACGGTGCGGCGCGGTACGGCGCGGCGCGTATAAAATGAACTTATAATGGGCTGCAAATTATTCAATATCGAAAATTCAATTCTGCTAATTTTGTCTGCCAGGTTTACAAAACAGGTTTTTTTTTCGTGCCATTTAAAGCATTCCAAATGGTAACACCCGTGAATATGTACCAACCTTGAAAACCACACTTGTTATCGGGGCGAATTATTCTGTCTGCCCATCTCATGCATGGGTTAATGCATCTACCGGCGCGTCCACCTCGTACTATTCAATTTTAGTTCAAGTATAAATTATTTATTATAATTTTTATTTTATATTCACTCTTTTTTTTTAACAAGGTATCATCTTCACAGTGAAAATGAGTTTAAATTATTATCTCTCATCCGAGAAGACCAATTATGTCTGAAAGTAATAATAACTTGGTGCTTTTGAATGACAGGAAACTACAAATCATTCGGTTTGACGACTTTTTTAGATGAGAAATTTATCATCTGTGGAAATTATTTAGAAACGTTTCAGGGAATTTGTGACCCATTCCTCGAGGTATTTTTTTTTTTTTTTGTTCAAGAGCTGAGACGCTGATTCTTTGCAACCTCTGCAATTCTGTTGGCCGTTTAATAATTTCTTTCTATTTTAATCAGAGTGCTGGGACTCACCTGGCAAAAGTTTGCTCGGATCTATTGGATCGTCGATCTCAATCATTTCGTCCTTGTGGGAGACGTAAGGCAACATTCGGGCAATCTTGTCCATTTCTTCGTGTGCTTTTCCCACCTGAAAATAATTACAGCCATATTGGATAAATTGAAATCAGATCAATAGAAATAATCTTTCATTGTCATCTACTTTTTCCCACTATTGAAAAAATATGGGAAATTTTCTGGCAATTGATCAATTTATTTAACCCCAGGGCACCCATCAAGGTCGAAAAACACTGACTTATTCATAACTTGTCGATTATCGAAGGAAACATGAACAATCGATCGTTGGAATAATTGATAATGCACAACGCAAAGTAAAAGGAAAATATGTATAACATTCTTAGCGTGATAAGAAGGAGAACGTTGACGATGAACACGTAAGGGAAAAGACGAGTGATATAGGCAACAATTTGAGGTCTTGCACAACAGGTTGTTTCATTTTTCCCTCCCGCTTTATTTATTCGTTAATTCGTGGAATAAAGTTTGTGTGTACAATTGTACACACAATGACGAACGTCATACTCCAGACGCCGTATAATTTGCATCGTAGCGATGACGCTCGTCAATTTCTGAGTTACCTAACACGAATTTTCAATTATCCAAAACGAATTAACTATATGTATGTATGGAGAAGAGCAATGAGCGAGAAAGGGGAGGGGATAAAAAGAAGTTTATGCAATAGTTTCAGTTTAAGTTTGGGGATGTATTTTCTTACGTAAAGCGATCATGTGCATCCGTAAAAGTGAAACGGTTGTGTAAACTTTGTCATTGCTCGGGTTTAAGGATAAACAAATGCCTTCTTGACGTCATTGAAAAGTCGAGGTTTTTCATATACATTTTTTTTTCCAAGGGAATAACTTACTTTGAGAAAAACACCGAGCACGGCGAGACCGTCTGGTGCTTTTGCTGCTTCAGCGAAGGTTCGGTACTTTGTTGTATTCCAATGAACCAGATGCAACTAAAATCCGCAAAGACAATTGAAATTAATCATTTGTTTTTTTTTTTGATGCTATTTTAAAATTGTCTTCAAAATCTATTCGTCTCCGTTCAACAAAGCAAATGTAAAACGGTGGATTCTGCTCCGGTACATTTTTTTATCACTGCATCACTAATTAAATCTCAGAAAAAAAAACGTCATTTATTTGGCTTGCATTACGCAAACTTATTCACAAAATGATAACAACTCGAGATATGTCATCACATTATCAATGAATATCTAACATTCAAAAAATTACTCATACGATTGTTTGACTAGTTTCACCGGAAATTGATTAAATTGATTTGATTGAAATCACCTCTCCAGCGAATGCCTGTCCATCGACAGTGTGTTCAGAACCTCTAGAATCGCTGCAGCCCCAGTGACAATGATACTGCTCAAGCTTGTAAATGTCATCCATCAATGGACCACCAGTCAGAACTGTAATTCAGTGGTAGTTATTTTCAACAATTCTTGAAATGAACAAACGCTTGAAGCCACCAAGCTTAATTTCTAATACTGGATGGAACCAGACGTGATGAATCTTAATCAACTTCAATTATTAAAAATTTACGGAAACACTCTCATAAAAATGTCGGTCAGAGTTGTTTTGATATTTTGCAGAACATGTCACATGATTGAGCAATGGAGAAAATAATACGTGTAATAGCGGATACGGGTCGTTTAGAATATATTCACTGGTTTACTTTTTATCATCAAGGGGGAACGCGAGGATCTAATGGATGAATCAGTCATATGATATACGACGCCGATACTTGGGGAACGATATCACCTTCGCGGTGTAATTATCCGATTACAGGAGACGTTTATTATCTTGTTCCGAGGCGAATTTATTTCATTGGGGGATTGATTATTTATGAGGTGAGGGGACGATGACCTCGGTGCCTTTCACCCCGCTACCGAAGGAATTCATCGGGAAAAACTGATGATTCATTATTTATTAATATATTAAATGAATTACGTGAATTAAGTTCATTTTAGCATGTCAATGTTCTTAAATGGAACTCGACATTACTGGATAAATAATTTCAAAATTATTCATTTCATTGAAATTACGAGGAGAATATGGTGGATTATTCTTTCTTTGGCTGATATTTTTCAGTGCAACCAAATTTTCCTCGCATTTCGGTAGTTATTTTTTCATTTCCCCGAGGCCACTCCATTTATATCAACTTTGCACTGAAATGAATAGTAATGAAAAAACTCACGTGTTCCCTCGCCATCGCAGTCAATGCGCCAACAGTAACCTGGATTGACAAGTTTTCTCGATGCAGAAGCGGGATATTTCCATCTCAGTGGTTTGCTGCTGAGGGCCTCGTGATCAGACTCAGCGCGATCGGTTTCAATATTAACCGGGCTCTGTCTAGACCCCGCAGCCATTGGGAATCTCTCCACCCAAGTGCTGGGACCTGTTGTCAATTCATCAAATAAAAAGTGGAAAAGTAGAAAATTGCGTTTCTCCTCATATAGCGTTGCTATTTTTGCTGATAAATTAGCAATGTGCTTTCGAATAGTCATTTTGCAGACATCGATGAAATAGTATTTATATTAGAAAAATTGAATAATAAATTTTGCAAAAATTATCATCAAATTTAATCTATTCAATCCGTGCGGGTGATTAGATTAACCTCAGGAAGAGGTGATACGGTGTAGAGTTTTCACCTCTCTTTCAATAAAATTAATATGAAAAGTATTCATTAGAGGAGAATGAAATTCACGACTTTTTCCGTTTTTCACTTGAATAAAAATATAGGTTTTTTTTTTACTCAAATCGTTTGTATGGGGTATGTAATGTAATACATAGAATCGTTTTCCATCAATAACTCATTTGCGGGGAATCGCTTTCATTTTCGAAGGGCAATCGAGAACATTTTTTTTAGTCATTATCGGACCACTTGGAGGCGAAAATGAGGTCGTCTGTCTCGGCTGATTTTTCCTTGAAGTTTAGGAATAAATTTCAGTGAAGAAATTTTCCTCATTCTCTTCGAAGCAAACACAGACTTTAGGTTTGTTTTGAACGAGGTCACGAGACCAATAGAGCCTGCAAATGGATACGAACCGAGGACAAGGCCGTTCGGAGAACCCGACATTGAAGGTAGAAAAATTGTCACTGCAGGTCATCGCGTTTTTAATCAATTTCCGCAATTTTCCATACATCCGTGATATTAAACAAAGGGCGGGAGGTAATCGCACCCGATGGCTCTGTGAAAGCCCTGTTATAGTTAGGCGTAGTAGAGTGACACGCCCACAATGTAGAGACGTCAACGCGCGATCATGCATTTATCCATTATTATGCAGAGCCTTTTGGGTGAAAAAAAATATACTAATGACAGGCATTGATCGACATCTGTTTGTCAATATTCGGCTACCCGGGGGGGGGTCCATCTAATCAAAGCTTTACAAGAATGCTGTTGAATTATTTTCGAGTGAAAAAAAATATTGATAAAAAAAAATGTGAAATGGAACAAATAGGAGAATACGTAATTATTTTTTGTAACGAGGGGTTTTAGATTTTTTTTCACACTGAGAAATGGTCAAGACAGCTGAATCAGGGTATAAAGGATCGAAGCTTGAATTTCTACATTTTTTTCTTGGGAAAAAATTCAATTTTTTCATTGAAAAATTGCTGTCTCTAAAATGCCTAAAAAAAATTTTCAGGCATGTTTTCTTATAAAGTTTTCCACATAAGTTTAGTGCAAAAAATCCTGGCGCCGCAAAATTCTTTTCCAGTGGCCGTCAATTTGCAAGAGGAAACAAGCAATTATCAAGGCTATACGGGATATTGTTCCATGGTCACTTGGAAGGCAACCGCAATATTTTTCGTTGTAAGGATGAAATAAAATTTATTTCCACTTTTCAACGAAAAAGAGACATTTGTTTTCCTCGCATGATATTGCGTGTAAAACGAGACGATAAAAAAATCGAATAGTCGGTGATATGTTAATCAGAGTAGATAGACCACGTCCCACTGTCAATTACAAATGTAATCCGTCCGATGAATTCTTTTTATTCCCGTGATGTCAGTGAAATTCTATAAAAGCAGGCATTGGCTGCATTCTATTTTCTGATTCTCCATTGTTATGAATTATTCAACAGACGCCTATGGTTAATGCTATAGAGAGCAGCGAGCGAGTAGTGTTCATTTTGCCACATCACTACGTGATGAATGAAATTAATGTCTTTGAACTGAATAACGTTAAATGTGAAATTATCTCTTTAATGAGTGTTTTTAAAGTAAAATGTCAGATGAAATTTTCTCCTCCTCCTCTACAAAAGAGGTATCATGAAGTAATAACTGTCTTTGAACTGAATAATAACGCGTTAATTTATCTATGACGATGTGAAATTTTTCAACTGAAAAATTGATGAGGAATATATCTTAGAGTCTCAATTAATTAACCGAGAAAATTGCCTAGTTCACTGGAGATGATTCAGAATAGCCAGCAATGTATTATCCAATCAACCGAAAATGTTGAGTGACAATTACAGAACAGAACAACCAGTGGTATGGAGGAAAAACATACAACGATGAAAAATTTATGCTGCTATCTTTTTTTTATTTGACCGCGCGATTTATTGATACGGCATCAGCGTGTGCATTAGCAATCCCTTAAATTCATTCCTATTCATCAGCAATTCCTGATGTCACGTTGAGAGTTGGATGAAAACATGGGTTAAAATAATAAAAAAGAAAATATTGATTTCCGTTGACGGTGTGAGATCCATCCACTCTATTCAATATTTCATGTCCTACGCAAAGTGGTTTATGTGTACCTGCTGCATGGTACCAGTCACCGAAATCACTTTAATATTTGATACCAAAGTTCGATAAACTGTTTGACAATGCGATAACAGCGGTGGTAAAAATACAGAAACAATCATTCGTTTATTCTCGAGTGACAAGTTTTTATTGGCGTGGTACTTGGTATTCTCACTGGTTGATTATCTTTATGTTGTTTCAATAACCTTGGTACCTTTACGACACGTTGGTCGAATGATGCCCCGAGTCACGCGGAAATAATATTTTTTAATGAGTATTCATCGCCTCCGGTGACAACGACAAATGTGCAATTTGATATTTAATCGTTTACGAGTCGTGGAGAGAAATGAAAATAACGTATGTCAACATTTTAATTGGCATTGATTTTTGGGGAGATTGTACATCTAAATTTGGAAAAATTCATTTCCAAAAATTCCACCACCAATTGTTTTCTTTTTCATTTTTAAGCTTTTAAATGTAATTTAATTTACTTCTCCCCCCTATTAAAATTGCATGCTTGCCAGCAAGCAACTTTCTTTAATGGAACATCGGAAAAATTAATTACCATTTCTTGTGTAATCCCAGTCGCTTCTGCCGGCCATCTCGGGGGGTATTACCGGAAATTGAGATCGGAAAAATTAAGATCCGAGTATAGTCCACTCCCGCTCGTTTTGACCACCTGCGTTGACCTACCGCTTGTGAAAGTTTGCTCGCAGCGTTGTCCCTTTGTTGACCAACTTCGAACCGACGCACTAACTTTTACTTCCCGTAAATCGGTTAATTCCAACGCGTCCGTCTCTGCTCAATTAACAATGGGAATAACCCACTGTTTTACTTGAGACTCGATGCGAGAATAAAATAACGGCTCGAGACCGAGAGACTCAATTTGACACTTAACTTGAAAAAGATAATAATCGCTTATACTTGAGCTCCAACACGGTACGGTATAGTAATGCCTTCGTTTGCTGCCAGAATGCTTGTAAAGACCGGCCGGTTATCGTCTCGATTTATAAAACTCGTTGTCACGTGACTCTGTAGACACTTTGAGGCGCATGCGCGAGTAAATATTTACACGTGCATATTGCTGGAGTTCCCCCCCCCCCTCCCCCCC